GAAAGTGCTAAGCCCAAAAGTAATAATCAGGAAAGTGTTTGCAAATACACAGACACAAAAGCTACACTTAATGAAAAACCAGGATCACGCTCACTCTTTCACGTCATCATCATCAGTCCTTTCCAGACCTCAAGTGGCCCATAGAGAAATTATGAAGACTTTTCACTGCTTTCAGTCTTCTGCCTATTCCGTAGCCTCTATTCTGTACAGTTCTATATTTCTCATATCTCTCCTTTATTCTTCTACGCCAAGTATCTTTTGGTCATCTCTCAATCCACATTCAATTTCCTCTAATCCTTTTCATGTTTCGTAACCATATAACAAAACTGAAAGATCCAGACTATTGAACAACATAAGTTTCATTTAATAGATAAACCTACATTATTCCACTCCTGCTTTTCTCACCTTCTCTTTACTTCCTTGCGCATATTTCCATCAATACTAACTATACTACTGAGATATGTAAAGGTTTCCACATCTTCCATTACCTCTCCATCCACAATGACCCGATCCGAATCATTTGTCTTTAACCTCATCATCTTTGTTTTCCATCGTATATATTAGTCATATCATTTCCATGAATATATGTCTGTTAAACCCAGAAAACGCATAAGAATTTTGATTAAATGACTGGTATTCAAAAAAACTTAAACTTCACAGTCTCCGTTAAAACTAACATCAACAGGAGAACCTATCGAACTATCTTATAAACCTTTTCTGATCCTATGTGCATTTCTAATATCATGATCTTGTATGACTATCATAATATTTTTGTTCAAACAAGAGGGCGCTATCTCCAGATTGAAAATTAAAGCAATTATTAAAGTCGCGTAAAAAACATTCATACCTAAATAAATTTAGCAAATCGAACATCCTAAAAGTCTGAAAGACAAAATTTCACACCTACTTTCGAAACATACTATCCCGTTGTTATCCACTCATTCCGGTTCAACCATAAACTAATATGTAATCAATATCTACCACAAAATATTATAATTGTATAGTACAGAAGTTCCCAAACTGAGGTCTGGGGAAAGGAAGAGTTTGCAGATACTGGGGGAAAAAAACGACATTTGAAACCTAAAAAATTTGGAAGGAATACATACAAGTGGAAAAGCCTAAAATTGTAGATTTAAGTTAAAATGGGAAGTTACTTGTGAGGCTTCACGCAATGCAGAATAATGACGAGTCTGCTGGTTTATTTCTTTACTTGGGAGGCTTCAAGCATTGCAGAATAATGACGAGTCTCCTGGTTTATTTCTTTACTTGGGAAGATTCAAGCATTGCAGAATAATGACGAGTCTCCTGGTTTATTTCTTTACTTGGGAAGATTCAAGCATTGCAGAATAATGACGAGTCTAGTGATTTATTTCTTTACTTGGGAGGCTTCAAGCATTGCAGAATAATGACGAGTCCCCTGGTTTATTTCTTTACTTGGGAAGATTCAAGCATTGCAGAATAATGACGAGTCTGCTGGTTTATTTCTTTACTTGGGAATCTTCCAGCATTACAGAATAATGACGAGTCTGCTGGTTTATTTCTTTACTTGGGAATCTTCCAGCATTGCAGAATAATGACGAGTCTGCTAGTTTCTCTACAAAAGAAGAGCGCTTGTTAGATAGCGCTTTCTTGCGACGGAAAATTAAGGTCAGTTTAAAATGAATCCTCTATTACAGTTCTGCATTACAAAACTGGAGAGTACCCTAAACTTGAACCAAGGGAGAGCTTATTTTCTGATGCCATTTACCACTAAGTACCTGGGGGTTTCATCACTTGCGACCCTGAAGTCCAAATACGGAAGTGGGATGAATGCTGTACTTGACTCGAGGTTCAAACTGACAAACACATAACTTTGCTCATAAAAACAGGCACACTCATCGCATTAAAACGCAGAAAGGTTAAGTTTAGAAACCACTAGGCACTAGTACAGTAACTGGAGTATCCATCCCCTGGACGGAAGTTACGTAAAATTCATGATTAATGAAAGGTTATCTTAGGATATGAAAAATTGCTTTCCTTATAAGCAATAGTGCAAAAACGCTCATAAAAACTAAAAAACACAAAATGTGAAACTGCAAATTTTTGTGTATCTCAGCATGAATCCAACAAACCTTTATGCCAAATCGGGTGAAGATCTATCAACAGGGGACGAAGTAGTGGTAAGTAACGCAAAAACGCCCATAAAAACCGCAAAATTGAAATTTTTATGTATCTTCGCATGGACCCAATGAACCTCCATACCAAGTTTGGTGAAGATCCATCAACAGGGGGGCGAAGTAGTGATAAAAACGCCCATAAAAACCGCAAAATTGATCATTTGTACATACCCCCACATGGACCTCCATACCAACTTTGGTGAAGATCCATCCACACCCTGTGAAGTAGTTACATGACAGTACTATTATATTTATATATTGTTTAAAGCCCATATTTTTGTATATTAATTTAACTTTTGAAAGTTGTTACACAGCTGCCAATGAGACATCTTACTCTACTACAAACTAGTATGTTTTTTTGTGATTTTAGAGCAAAGCTACCACCATTACACTCTGTTTACCGCGTGAATTGAACCTCGGATCTTAGAGCTGTCTGTAAACTCATTTTTGACTCACCAGGAGACCAAACTGGTATGAATTTATATTGCATGCTTTGTTTAAAGATTTTTTAAATAATATTTCGTATAAAGTAAATCCTAGTTAATATGAGTGTGATTTAGACCAAAATGGAGCTAAGGGTGGAGGCAAAAAGAAAACAAAAGACTAACTTAATTGTTGAGAATGCATACTACATCCCACAGAAAAAACTGCTCCCCACCCCCACACTCCTAATAATCCTGTCTATGCTAACTACTTTTCAATGGTACCAGTTTAGAGATTTACAACTGTTTAAAAGTATTTCAAGCCCTGTCACCAGAGTAGGCCCCAAAACAACAATAACCCAAACTACTTAATTATAAGTTTACTGATCAGCTTAATCTTAAGCAGTAGCCTAGCTTTCCAATGAAACAAATTCATCCACACGCGCACGCACACTGTGAGCATAAGATACATACTTGGAAACATTTATTATATGTTAATCATAAACATACATTCAGAATAACCAAATTTTTGACTAGGTACATTAAAAACTCAATGTGACTTTTGGTAAGCTAGTGATTTTTCATAGTAATAATCCAACTCAATTTGTAAAATATATCAATGCTACACAAAGCTGTAAAAATTAACTATATTAAGAACTATTCATTTGTAAATGAAAACAATAAGAAAATTATAATTCGTAGCACTTTACACAATGCAGCTCAAATGTTATTTTAGCACATAATAGTGACTTGTGGCATCATTCAAAACAACAGTGAGGTTGAAGAGAATATACAAAACTGACCACAAAATTAAATATAACACACTTTCTATTAAACATAACACATTGTCTATTAGAAGATAGCTAACACAAGAAAGAACAAACATATGAATCATTTGGAATTCATTTAATAAAAATAAAGACATTCAGTGGCTATAAGATCTTGTAAGTTAATTTAACTGAGCAATGGAAAGTCACACACGTGTATGTATAATCTGTTAAATATAACCAGAACAGCTGTCATAGTTATGGGCCCTGATCAGCCTATAGTAATTATTGGCACAAAATACCTATCACAATTAGTGGACCTGATTGAACTGCAGTGTTTAATCTGAAATCTTTCTTAGTAAAGTTCTCTGCTACCTCTGTAAACAAAACAAAGCCAAAGAGTTGGAGATAGATGTATACTCTGAATAAGTATGCATCTGTACAAGTTCTGAATATGAGTAAGTATTCATTTGCGAATACTCTGCATATGTAAAAGTACATTTCTGTAAACGTTTTTACAGTGTGCATCTACAAATGTTCTAGAAAAATCTTACATTTATAACTTGAACAGTGTCAAAAGTATTGACAGCTTTAATATATACTTTATCAACATGCATTTCACAAGTAGACATAAAAAATCTGAATAGCATTATGTACCCTCAATGTATTTTTTTTTTCATCACCTGCAAGTTGCAAATCGTGTACAAAAAGCTGAATTAAAGGAAAAAGTTAGTTACGCCAAAGAAAAAGAACATGCAGCTAAATATGACTGGTTGATGTATTAAAGACAGCATAATACTGTATTACTCAAATAATGCAAGTAGGTATTTGAAGTTAGCTATTTAGAATGTATTTACTGTTTTCTTTAATACAACATTTAATGTGATTCCAATATGCATTTCATTAATAAGTTACTAAAATATACAAAATAGTTAATATAGATGGGTTTTTAAATACAACTTACTTTATAAATACATGTAAAAGCTTTATTACTCATAGTTAATATTATAGTAATAAAGTTAATGATATTAAATGGTTTGTTTTCAGACATTCATGCAAAGTTACACGAGGTATATCTGTGCTAACTGTCCCTAATTTTGAACTAATAGACTAGAAAGAAGGCAGTTAGTCAACAGCATCCAGATAATCCTTGGGCTACTCTTGTCCGATCAAACAGTGGGATTTGATGCACATGTGGCCCCAAAGTGCAGAGCAATTTTATTTGCACTGACAAAATGGAAATGATGATCCCACAGCTACACAGTTTGTTTAAAACTGGGCCACAATCAGCCCAGTACTAAACAAACATTTGGAAAATATAAAATGTTCTGCAGGATAAATTTTCCCAATTATTAGAAAAACAAGTTATTTTTTTTTTTAGAATCCCAATAAAATATCCATATGTAAGTGAAATTTTTTAACTAAATATATAAAAGCAAATTATTACTTCTACACACTGAAAAACTAGTTAAAACTTTGCAATACAGATAATCAATTATTTATGATTTAATACTCTGAGTGAAATAATCCATCACCAGTTTTAAGTTTTAATGCAGAACATAGATGATAAGCCAAAACAAGAAATAATATACTTACATTTTAAGAAATTTCAACTACAAGCATTATATATAAATATCAACGAACTATAAAACAAGGAGTAAATTAATTAATACTGTCGTTTAATGTAAAATATTTAATAAAGTTGGATCAGTCATTAAAATTTACACTTTTAAATACACTATCAATGTCATTAAACTGCCAATAATATAAGAAAATAATTCTCAGCACATGATTAAAAAAAATGTAGGCGGTGTTCGGCCGTGATTAACACAATTATAATGCATTTCGTTAATCAAATTTTTATAAACTACAGTAAGATAAAATTATTTATCTGTTTAAATGAGAAAATTATCTTTTAGTCTTTAAAATATACATTAATAATAAAAGAACACAAGTTGAATACATAATTATTTTTCCTATTAAAAAAAGCATTAAGTTATTTGAAAGAACCTTGTAATTTTTCCTTGGCCTTTGATTATTCCACCTTTAGCTAACTTCGGAACTTTATTACCAATTTTCTTTGGTGCACTATTTTTCTTGGAAGTGGAAGTTTTGGAGGTGGACTCATTATTCAATATATTTTTCTTTGACACTTTAGACAATGGCTCATTTGTAATGTCTTTGAGAAACAACCTTTTTGCAGCTATTTTCGATTGTTTAGATGACATTTTGCTCTTCTTCTCTCCTCCATGTCTTGAAACACAGATATTTGTGTTTTTGGAAAGAATGACCAGATCACCTGTAGAAGTTTCCACTTTAGCAGATGGCATCTCTCTTCATTAAAAAGAACAAGTTATAAATTGTTAAAATTTCATACAGCTATAACATTTGGAGTTTGATTAATATTACTGTATCAGCTGATCATACGCATTTATACATACACAAACACAAGTACATTCAGGACATGTCAAAAACCTATACAATCATGATATTTTTACACCACTCATGACTATACATGTTTTGACTTTTTTTTATGGCATGTTTTCACTTTTTTGGATTACATTTTGGGATATTTTCACTTCATAGTTTTGTGGTTGGTGACAGTTTTCACCCACTTACACATAGTGATGTTAGGTTCTCATTTTGCAATTACATATTTACTACTACAATATCTATCTATCTATCTCTATATATATACACACACAAACACATGTACCTTTTGTTTAAAAACACAGTTTTGAACAATATAAAACTACATATATATATAAAATCACAATTAGACGATCTGTCAAGAAGATGATAAAGGACAAAGATGCAACAGACACTACTTAAAATATGACCCACAAATAAAAACCTATCCATTAAACTTTCCAAATCTGAAGCAACCCAGCTCAACTCATTGAGTCAATAAATAATAAAACCTAAGATGTTTTTTTATTCACTAGGCCACATCTTATTTGCCATTCACTGTGAACTTTATGTAATGATCATGGCAATACTTCCAAGAAACTGTGGTACAATATACCACATAACAAACAGATTGATCAAACATAATTTTTAAAATACTCTTCACCACATAAAACACTCAGTCAATCTGAGTGAGTGTTCAAAGAAACTTCTAAAAAGACTTTAGTGTTGTATATATTAAAATAAGAGACTTATGTTTACAATAAAATATTCTAAAAGATCTACTAATCTCTTAGTACACAGTTATAAGTTTCATACATTATACAGCGTGATGTCTTTAAAATTCTGAAATAAAAACTGCCTATATCAATTGTAAGACACAATACTGAAAGGAAATGGATATCATATTTAAATTCTCTAATAGAATATGTCAGAACAGTGTTAATTTATTGTCAAATGTAATGTTGAAACCTGAACAACATGCACAATTTTTCTTTGTTATACTTGGGTTTATTATAGAAACATCTTTAACAATAGTAATTAATTAAACCAGCAGAGCAGGAAATAGTAATAATCAAACTGTTATAGGCTTGTAAAACTTTAAATAAACTAATAACTTTTGAAAACGCTTTTTGCTAAATAAGGGATACAAATTACTTAAGTGAAAAAATGAAGCTACGATACTGCTTAATTCTTCAGTTGTACTGTTATGGCATTTAGGACAGTTTCAACAAATCTGACTAAATATTTGTAATGTATTAAACATGCTAGTTGATTCACATTTTATTTTACAAAATTGAGACTTTTTTGTTTTGTTGGGCTAACTTGAATACAATTGAAAAGAAACTGTGTTATCATTTGCAACTTCATTTCACATTCAAGGAAAGTGGTGTGGTACTGTTCAAGATTCACACTATGCACTGAAGGTGGTGTGGTACTGTTCAAGATTCACACTATGCACTGAAGGTGGTGTGGTACTGTTCAAAATTCACACTATCCACTGAAAGTGGTGTGATACTGTTCAAGATTCACACTATGCACTGAAGGTGGTGTGGTACTGTTCAAAATTCACACTATCCACTGAAAGTGGTGTGATACTGTTCAAGATTCACACTATGCACTGAAGGTGGTGTGGTA